GTTGAATAGTTGATACACATGAGAGAAAGACTTAAACCTAATAAACTTTCAACATTTGGAAAACTCTCAGTCACATTTAAATCAACTATCATCTTATACATGTTAAGCAAAATATTCTTATTCTTATTTTAGTTCGTAGTAATTAATAATAGAGACGTTGATGAAAAACTTAAAAACTGTTTAAACTCATTCGTAAAATCGTCGGGGAAATCCTTTGGATACCTTTTTAACAAATTGTTCATTCCTTCTTGTATTTTTTTGATTTCCATGTCCATTGAAATTTTAGATAATAACTTAAAATTATTTCTCACACAAGTATAAGCGATAATTCTATGTTCTCGAGCACTATAAAGCTGATCAATTATTACATAAAAAGTGTTTATTTTAAATGACTTTGCATTTAGTTTATGGGAACTACTTTCATTTATTTAAATTTTTTCTCGGTGTCTAGTCAATTTGTAGTCTTCATTTTTAGCTCTTTTCATACCATTTGTTTCATAATCATCATATTAGCACCTTATATTCTGAAGGACAATTTTAAGATTTTCAATTAAATTAATTGCAGTATATAAATCAATTTCGCTAATTTTGAACACTTTTACTGCAATTATTAAAAGGTTCGTGGATATAATGCCACAATTCACACATAATGTTCGTTTCTAAATGGCCGAGAACTTTACTTAAGCTTCCTGCTTGGTGACGATTTGATTGTGGTTGAAATGGATCATTTTGAATTTTTTTTAACGTAAAAATTATTGAAATCCGGATTTAGTCTGACCATTTATGACGGCCAAATTTTGTTCTCAATAAACGGACTAATAATTTGGTAAAATATTGAGCCTATGCCAGGTCTAGTCTGACCATTGACTTGTGTGCAAATCTACAGATTTTAAATATTTTCAATACAAAAAAAAAATTACTGGCCGAATTTTTTCGAGCGCCTTAAGCAGTGCTTAATTTGCTTGTAGGTTAATCCGGCACTGATAGTACCTACCTATGTGGTAATGTAGTTACTAGTTAAGTAGGTACATTATGTGTCTACTGTCTATAGGTAAACTCAAAATATCGTAAAATGTCATATTATCAGATACCGAGAGTCCGAGACCAGGGGCTTAGTTAAAAATTTTATCAGGGGATACAGTATACCCCAATTTAAAATTTCGTTAAACATTAAGGAGATTCGATGGTTTGATACCGTGATTTTCTATTAATATCTAATACATGCGTGATATAGGATTTTAGACGTGTTCTTTGCCAAATGTACAGATTGATCTAATGAAGCGATAAAAATTCTAAAAATAGATTTGAATTTGTAGTCAAGGCCACTTGAAAACGACTTCCCCACATTTTTATACTATCCCCAAGACCCAAAATTCCTAAAAAAAGTTAGGTATATTAAAAAAGGACAATTAAAAAATTTTCATATTTCATTATTTGGAGAACTAAAAATCAAAAAATCAAAAATGTGGGAAAGTCGATCTCAAGTATACAAGTAGAATTTTTAGATACCTACATACCTATATGTATATAGTATAGTGCTGTAGTGGACAGTAGTGCACCTATCGTATTATCGTGATATAGCCATCTGGTTTATACAATCTGTAAATATAGACTAAAAAATAGAAAAAAATTAATAACAATAGAAAAACAGTCTATTATAAATTATATCAATAAAAGTTTAAGGGAAGGGGGGTAATTAAATTAATTGTAACAATATTGGTGTTGTTGATATTATTATTGAGTGCACACAATAATAGGTTCTTAGGAATACAAAATGTCAAATTGTATAATACATTAATATATAGGTACTGCAATAGTGCGATATATATAAATGTAATATAATATTATGTAGATTATTTTCCTATATTATTGACTTTGTGTATTCTGTGTTACTTTTATTGTTTTTTTTTCACGATGGGCTTGTAAACACACATATTAGTAGGTACGAAAACAATAAACAATAATAGTATCCATACCTACCTACCTTGTTTTAACATGGTTTCGCCTTTCAGTATAATAGGTACCTACTACCTACTGTGTACAATCGACGATAAAATACATATTTGTTTTATACTTTAACACTACAAATTGCAATATCAATACCTAATGTTATGAACTTATAAATCATAACATTAAACCATAATCATTATAAAAAATTTAATTAAAATAATGAATAATAGCTTTTATTTTTTAACTATTAACGTTCCTTATTCCTTATAAATTATAATATATAATGTAATGTATATAATATATAATGTAATGTATATAATATATATTATAATGTATAATATACTATAACATAGGTATTATGGAGTTATAAATATTTTTAGATTCTGATGAATGTGTATAGTGAATAGTGGGTTTTTTTATTTTTTGTTTCTGTGTACATGATAAGTATTCGAAATAATATTTTAATTTTCAACTTCTGTAACTTTTCTGGTGGGAAAGTAAATCTCATTGATGCATTCGAAAGGTCAGAATTAAAAGTTCCCAGTAATTTTCAAATGTGTTGTGGGAAAAAAATTAATGAAAAAAGGAAATTATAACCCAAAATCAGTTTTTAATCTGACAAAATTGATTTTGGTTGTTGATGTAACTCTAAAAAATATAACCACGTAGATACATTACATTTTCACTGAATGTTTATAGTTGTTAACATTTTGTGTACATAATAATTAATAACATTTTAAAAACATTCCGACTCTTTTTGAGCTATTTTTAGATCTTAAACATTTTAAAAATTGTTTATTTTTTTCTATTAATATCAATAAAAATGTTTTTTTTTAATATCTAAAATTTGAAAATTTAATAGAAAGGTTCTTCATAAGTTTTTTTAATAGCAGTTCGAAAATATTAAGTAAACATATAGGCGTGACTTTTTTCATAAGCTTTTTAAGTTGAAATGTTGACAAAATTAATCAAAGATAATTTGCAAATCATCTACCGAAAGTCTAATTTTTGATGATGGTTGAAAAGTTGGAAAGCGAGGCTTTCATCCAGCTGATGGTCAACTGTAAAATTGAAATCTCAAAAAGTGCCGCGCTTATCCCCTTAAATCTATACCACGCCACCACGGTCCTTATAAAACATACATTTTTAGTTACATCTTATATTCACAACATATGAAACCTATGTAGGTACCTGCATGAGTGCATGACGTGTAAACATTTTTCTTTCCGCGACTGAAATAGTTCACTTCCCGTCCTTGTCAAACAATATACTATTAGTGCCACAATTTATTGTAGTTACATTTTGGTGAAATGTTTAATTTTAGTTAAGGATTGAATATTTAAGACAAGGTTTCTCATAAGTATTTCATACTGAAATCAAAATAATTATGTTAACACATGTTAACCTATACCGTTTTACTAATATTAAAATAAATTACTTTAATACCGTTAAAATAAAAATATAAAATATACTTAGTAGGTAATATAAGTCGGTTGACCACGTCTTCACTAAGAATCGTTTTACGTTTACAATGATTTTATATCATTGAATTCAAATTCAATACACCCATTAGGGTGACCCATACAACTAATTTACAGCAGAGCTGCAGACTGCCAGATCGGTACTTCCTTGCCCACCTTTTTTTATGTTAAATCTAGATAAAGTTGCCATAGAGACTATTACATCAATATTTATTTTGGAATATAATATCATGCAGTTTAATATTCCTATTTACACATTCTCATTAAAATTTCTTTTTCCAAAATAGTGTAAGATAAGGTAGGTACTACTGATATATACCTTATTACCTACCTACTGAACTTGAAATTCAAGTTTTAGTGTTTTACCTATAGTTAATTTTTTGTAAATCGATAATTAGGTATAGGTACTTCTGTACCTATGGTTATGCATTTAGTCAATAACGTGAATATCTGGCTTATAACTTTAGTTGATAATTAATTATAAATGACCTATGTACCTATCTATCTGGTCTTTAATTTAAATTTTGTGATTACAAGTGAGTAACGTTATTTTCCGTATAATGTCATTCATCATAACATAAAATACATAAACAAAATATTTAAATGCTTAATATAGGTATCTACTTTTTCAGTACTCACTATAGGTACCTAACTATAACCATTTTTATTACCACACTTTAACTGTGAGACAATTGTCTACACCACCACTGCTATAGACTATGGCCTTTGGGTTGCATGTTATAACACTAACAATTAATAAGTAAATAAGTTATAACTTATAATAAAATAATATACTTATACATGTTAATTCTAAAGTGCATTCACGGTACACCTATTGGCTATTATGCACCTGCGTGTCTGTTATACCTAATACTTAATAGGCACCAATATTAACCTATAAACACAAACAAAAGTATCTGCCTATACTATACTTCTTTCAAATGTCTTTACATGTATAGTAACCGTATATAGGTATGCATTATACATATTAAAAACGAGGAAATGAATCGATCGCGAAAGGTTTTTAATTTCGACGTACCTATACAGTCACGCAAGTCGAGAATTCGAAAGTACCTACTTGCTCTATATAAGGCTATAATATCTTAGTTCGTGATTATTTACATTTTACATTTTTACCTACACTTGGGCATAAACGTTAACGAGATGAGATTATATTATTATTGAAATATTATTGTCGAAGGCATCTCACCGCGCCGGCCGCTGTAAAATTGTAGACCTATATTATTACGTTGTTAAATTGTATGTAGGTAATATTATTACTATTTTAATAATGATACATTTAATTTTGTAATCTGAATTCTGAATCATTTCAGACACTCAGGCGTAATCGCGTATGTTGTAGCTCAGTGACTCAGACCGATTGAATGGTGGCTCGGAGTGCGGACTTTGGGAACCATTGACGGTGGTGTACTGGTGTGATAGGGAAGCTGGTGTGCGTGTGCTTTTTAGTTAAGTTGGTTGGGCGGGGGTCCCTCGATTCGGCGGCGTGTTATCGACTGATAGGGGCGTGTCTTGTTATAATCACTAATCACTACACAATCTCGTTCAAAACACCGTCGACAATCCCGACGAGCTGCTGTAAGCCGCTGGTCAAGTGCTCCCGACGAGCTCCGCGATTCCTCGCCTGACGATATTATAATTTGTTGTTTATATTTCACGATAATGATTTTCATTTGGCCGGACGTCCGTTTTCCCTCAGTCGCATGAATCGTGTGTCAATTACAAATGCAACAATAATATTTTTATTATGTGACCAGCGCCATCATAATACTATGATACCGCCCGGGTGCGACCAATTCTGCACCACCACCGAATTCTCGTCCATCCGGTGACGAAAGTATTGGACCTTTTTGAAGGTTTGTTTCCGGAAACTTTTTTGCCGTGTTAGCTCGCGCGCGCTGTGCAGTCGCCACTTGTTGTGCCAGTGCGCCGCAAGGATAACTAGTAACTACTTACTGCTATTGTCACTACTACTATAATAATATTGTAACACTCCCATTACTATTTACGAACTATATAGTTCTCCTAGCTTAAAGGGTTCCTAGAAATCTAGTTTGTCTTGTTTCGATGATGATTTTCCAAATCTTTACAATCAGGTTTAATGATGTAATATAATGTCCTTATATACCCACAGTACAACTAGTTTCAGTCTTACTTGATTCCTACAGTCTTCTAAAATTCTGTTTTTGTACAAATCATATCAGCTACTATAAATATATATTAGTTACTTTCCTATTTATTATAATATTATCAGCATAACAAGTGTCACAAAATACTGCCAGATTATCATATAAAAAAATTTTTCAGACCAACACATTTTGTCAATTCACGAGACGTTACACTGTAGTATTTCATCAGAAAAATAACACATCACTACATTTTAACTACCTTTAAAACAAAATACTTCAATTGTTTGTCAAATACAATGTATACCAATTCAACAGTTTGGCAAGTTAATATCTACAGGTTTAGTCATACTCTATTGAATCTAAATGCTTGTACTTTTATGTAACTTAAAAAAGTCATCAGTATCTATATCTAATATTATTTAAATATTTTTACTTAAAACTAGTTTTATTTGCACATTCACAAAAAATGCAAGTGACCATTAAAATAATAAATATAAAAATAATTACATTTGTTTAAAACAAAATTAGTCAACTAACTTACCTACTTGATTAAATTATACTGGGAAATGGAATTAAATTTGTAATATTTATTATTTACTAAAGAAAATGAAAAAAACTAATGAACCTAAGAAAAGCAAGGTCAACAAATTTACCATAAGTTTTCCATGGGTATTGACAAAAATAAAGTGTTATCATTTTAGGATCAATCAAACTATAATTTAAATTCAGTTATTGAAAAAAAATTTAATTTATAATTGGAATTAACTTAAGTATGCAATTTAATTTATTTGATAGAGTGCACTTATCAAATCATGAATTAATTTTACTACTTAGATAAAACTAATATGATATTGTCCTATTAGTGACTAATACAGTAGTTGACAGATTAACGATTAAGTATGTACACTGATTTCATTCCAGTATTTTATGTGATGTTAGTAGTTAGTAAATCTAATAATTCGGTAAAGAATCTTCATGATAAATAAATATTGTACACTTAATTTTATTTGCATGTGAAATTGTATTAGGAAATCGTTAATTAGTAATTATACGAGTATATATTCAGATATATACTGGCTACTTTATAATTGTATGGTAGGTACTTAAATTTTTTTTAATAATGAAATTTTATTTCATGAAGGTTAAACATAAGTTACGGCTTACACTAATAATCCTTCAAGTTAATATGTATTATTTTTATTTTTGGAATCTCTTTTGATAGAAATAGAGACGTAGATATATATATTTTTTTACCAGATTATCAATGATTAATGATTTAAATGATCGATAATATTCCTAAACATACTTATTTATACTTATAATTTAAAACTATTTTGGTTTTAGATGTGAAGTACCTATATTGGCTAAATAACTTCAAAATGGATAAAGAAACAACACTTATGTATCAACCAGCCAATCGGATGGAGGACTCTTCGTGGAACTTGACCGATGTTCATCTAGATGACATTAAAATGGATAGTAATTTTGCCTGGATGCTGTTCTCACTAATATCTGGAATGGTGTGGGTAATTTATATTACTTACTACAATTCTAGAGTGACGGCATATATTGTCACCAGACTGTTGACTAGGTTCTATGCTACAAAAGGATATCTTAGTATAGGTAAATGTATTTATTTTAAAATTTAATTTAAATTTATTATTTGCTCAAATTTAACATTTTTAAATGAGTTTAAAGAATATGTATTATTTTTATTAATTAAAAACAAAATATTTTTCAGGTTCTTTTACGGTTTGTGCTCTTTCTGGTAAGATTATGTTCAGAGATATAATTTACATCACTGAAGATTATACCATAAGAGTACAGGATGGCTGGTTGATATTCCGTTGGTGGCGTTCTTATGTTCCTAAAGATGTATCAGAAGGTTGGTGAATCTTTTAATAACTATTTAGCATTAGTCTATTAATTTATATCAAAGTACTTATTTATTATTTTTAATTTATGATTTAGCTATGTTATTATGTGTATAAATATATTTTTTTTTAGATTTGTCACATTCTGATACTAGGCTGTCCGTTATGTTAAATGGGTTTGAACTACATGTATATAACCGTTGTAAAATGTATAGTAATTTAGAAAAAGTATTCAATTTAGATCCGTCAATTATTCCTTGGGACGAATTAAGTGTCAGTAAGTACAAAATAAAGAAATTATTTATTATTAGTTAATTTTGCTTGAATAAATGATACTTATAATAGTTATAATTTTTAGAAGAAGAGGAAGCAAAAAATAATAAAGATAAGAAACAAGAAGCAGTGCTTGGAAAAAGCTGGAGAGATCTTATACCTGTGATAAAAATGGAAGTGTCTTCTGTAAGTTTTATTATTTATTTTATTTTATTACTATTTGTGTGTGGTCTTATTGTGAATGTTATCATAATTTAAAATCTAGGGCCGAGTGGTATTTGGTAATCGACTTATACCAACCACTTTACTAGTCAATGTCGAAGAAGCCCATTTTGTGTATTCGACTAAACCAGCTGCTTCAAAATTGGACCATTTTATGCACTTTGTTAAATGCAAAGCAGAAAATTTTAAAGTAAAAATTTGTTATATTACACAAATTATTTATATAAAATTACATTTATTAATATTATAGGTGATATTAGCACCAAGTCCCAAATATACTGGCATGGCAGATGATCCTCCTCGATACATGGGTGCTGGTTTTGTTGTGTTTTCATCAAATAATATAGAACTTTACTACTACATGGACGAACCAGGTAAACTTTAACAAATATGTCTGAGATTATCAGTAATTAGCTACAAAATAAATTTTTTTAGGGGTTGTACCTGAAGAACCTGAAATGTTGCAATTAGCAAATGGGGATATAGTTGAATCGGCTCCACCCATTTGGGGAATTGACATAAAGGTATTTAAAATTGATAACTTAAAACTTTACATTTTAAAGGATGATTTAATCAAATGTACTCAAGAAATAAGAATATAAGATATTGTAGTAAAGTTAACGGAAGTGAAAAAACTGTTATTAATACCTTATGATGAATAGTTAGAGAATTTGAGTATATGAATTATGAATTCATAAACTTTATTTTGTTGTCTGTTCATGGTTTTTTAAGCAGTTTATTGAATATTATTTAACTTAATTGTTTTGTATACAACATATTATACCATTATTAATTTTTATCAATTAATAATAATTATTTTTATAGTGTGGAAAAGGAACAGACTTCAGTTATGGTCCTTGGGCAGACCGACAAAGGGAACATTTATTCAAGTTATTCTTTCCACAAGATTTTCAACCACTTAAGGTTAATATAATTTCTATAATTTTCCTTATCTTTCAAAAATAAATATTACAACATTTATTTTGATATATTTATGTTATAGGTTAGTGATCCACCATTACCTGGGGAAAAACGTCAAGTTCAAGCATTTGATATTCGCCTGAATACACTCTATGAATCTACTATTGACATTTTGTTTTCAAAAAATAAAGTAAGTCTTATATCCTAATTATTTTAATAATTTAGTCATTTATTTGGTGCTAATTGGTCAGACGTTATTATTTTTGTATTCTATAGGAGAACAAACGACTTTCATAAAATTAATAATACTAACATAATAGATATTAACCACCAGTCATATTTGACTGAATTATACCTTATAATAATATTTTTTAATATTTAGAAGACCATAATTTTATATAATTAACTTAATCAAATATAAGTCGTAGAAGACAATTATAGTTACAAAGTGTGTTATAAATTTCATTTTCTGTAAAATGCAATTTGAAACTTATTTTTATTAGGCTTTCGGTTTACAAACTCAGTATAATAACTTTAAAAATGTCCAGTAAATTTGAATAATGTAATAAGTTTAGATTTTAAGTTCAAATAGGAACTTGTTAACTTTGACTAAACCCAACATTTTTCGTAGTTTAGTTTTATGCATATTCATATAGAAATTTGAGGATCTTTACTGAAAATATATATATTAAAATCAATACCATACTGTGTTTTTAGGAAACTAATGCAATTCATATTAATGTTGGACCGGGTTCATACATGGAAATTACTTTACCATGGCTAGTAGCACATGATGGTTATACTACTAAAATTACCGGGCAGCTACTTCATTTAGAAGCAACTACAAGTTTGCAAGTAAAACATAATTTTTTTTAAAATATACAATTTATATTGCTAATATATTGGTATCATGTTTAAAGTTTCGCAGTTTATTAGAGTGTGAAACATTAGAATTTACCGCTCATTGCCACTATCCAATTCAGTGGAATGATCATCAAGAATGGTTGTTTAATTTAACTGGTTGTAAAGCAACAGGGTGGTTTACCTATGCTCACAAAGGTTTTTTTCAAGGTAAATTTTAAATAAATAAGTATTTTAGCCTATTCAATTTATAGCTTACTGATTTTCTTTTTATAAATAGAAATGATAAATGATTGGGCCAGTAAAAGTAGGCCAGATATTTTACATTTTGTGCCATATACATGGAAGTTTTCAGTTCTTATGAAAGAATTTGAATTAATAACTATTAGTAATGAATACAATTGGATCGATTGTTCGTCTCAAAATCAAGAGAATGGTATTTATAATTTATTTTCTTTAATAGTATTTATTATTTAATTATAAAATATCAGCTAATTACAATATTATTGAAATGTTTCTAATTTTATGTACTATTTCATGGTATTATAAAGCTCTTATTGCTGCCAGTGGTGATTTATTTGATTTTTCATTTGATCTCCCATTTACGGAGTTTTTGCCTGACACATTACCACTTCGATTTTGGATTCAAGGTGAAAGTATAGATTTATCTATGTATTTGCCAGAAGTATATACTAGCCGAAGTGTTTTATTATCATTAAATCAAAATGCTAAATTACTTGGACGTGATGGAAAAGTATATAGATCAAAATTGGATGATAATGGACGTAAATGGCGAAATATTTGTCAAAAAGGGTATAGGAAATTATTTTAATATATTCAAAATATGGTATTGTAATAATTTGAAATTTTTAATTTAGTCTTGGATGGGTAGACTGTTGGACCATGCCGATTGTTGCTTTATCAATTAATTTTATTTATCATCCAATGCCAATGTATGGACCACCACCTCAAGCTGACATAACTACACCCGAAAAAGAAGAAAAATTGCTTTCACCAATGAGAATGCAGCATCATAAGACACAAAATGTTCCTATTCATTGGACTCGAGTTAGAAGAAATTAGAATTATTTTTCTACCTAACTAAATAAATAAATTTGTTTTTTATTATATTAGGATGAAGGACAAAAATTTGACCCAACTACTTTACCAGCTGACAAAGTTAGTTTAGAGTTGGAAATTGGTTCATCAATTATGTTTTTGTACGGATCTTGGCTCAGGCATTTTTTTCATTTAAAGGTTAATTATTTTTTATTTATCAATAATTATTGTGTTCTAACCTTAATACTTTACTTCATATTGTGGTTTAGGAAAGCATTTTTGGTGAAGATCAAATTTTTACTGATATGAATGATAAATTAAACCCAAAAAGTGCAAATACTGATAAAGTTACAGATCAAGACAGTAGTTCTTTATCAGATATAAAAATTCAAGTAGATCCACGAGAATACAGACCATTGGAAGTAGTTATTTCTATTACTATGCATGATTTACAAGCCCATCTCATTAAGGTAAGTTCAATAAAATGTTTTTACTATAAAATGTAACATCATTTATCTTTTCAGAATTGCAATGATAATGATCCCCCTTGTCCAGTTATAATAATTGAACGTTTTGGACTGGAAATGAAGAAATCTTATAGGGACACTCAGTTACAGTTATTGTTATCACCTAGTTTACTTATATCCAGTGATAAATTAGGAAATCGACCAGTAAAAGATCATCATTTGAATCAAGGACATTTAATGCTTTCTGCTCTACAGGTATGTAATTATAGATTAATAACTTATAAATACTTTATTATATATACTATTTGTATTAATAATTAATATTATATATGTAATTATGTAGATTCGAGGTCATGCTATGTTTAGTGATGCTGAAAGAAATCTCAACCAAGACACGTTAGAATATGCTTGGTTATTAGAAATTCAGCTGGGAAAACTTAGTGGTAAAGCTACTGCACCTCAAGTAAGATGTTATATTTATTAATTTTTCAGTTTCAAAAAATTAATTATTTTAATACTTAATAAAGTTTTTTCCAATAAATAATCTATTAATAAACTAAATTTTCTTGTAAATAGTGCTTTTACAGAATTTTTATTTGTATCTTAACTTTGGGTGTGTTAATCTTTATACATATAATATATAATATTAATAACAAAATTATATTTTTCAGTTGTTTCATGTTGTGACAGGCTTGGAGACTATGTTCTTACTAATGTTTGATTCAGAAAATCAGCTCAAACCAGCTCATTTACCATTAGAATGTCATCATGGTTCATCTCCTTCAACATGTCCTCATAATGATCCACAGGCCCGTTATAGATGTCCCACAGCTGATGAAATAAAATACCGAATGACTCGTGTAGCTATTGATGCTATAGATATCTATCTAGTAGAGTCTGGTACAGCTATTAATTTATGGGTAATATATTTAAAAATATTTATATGTATTTAAGTTTTTTTTATTATAATTGCTATATTAAGTTTAAAAAAATAACGCTTTATTAAAATATAATTTATATTTTACTTTTTTTTTTGATATATTAAACATATTGTGTTTAAATGAAAAAAAATTAATAAATCAATGATTCTTTATAATTTTATATTTATAAGACAATATTTTTTAGGCTTCCCCATTACGACTATCACATTGTAACTTACATAGTAATCATCTCAAGTCTGGTATTACATTAGTTATTCCAGCTGTGAAACTCAAACAATTTATTTGTGCTGGTCCACAAAACACACTTGGACTTAATAGTAACACTAGCACTTCGGGAAGTAACAGATCTCAGCATCGGTATGTATCCATTTGATTTTTTTGTATTCAAAAAATTTGCTTTTTTTTAAAACATTGATTTATTGAATGATTTATATTTTTTAGAAATATTAGTGGTACCTCAAATGAAAATCAGGAAATGTGGCTAGAGATTGGTTCTGCATCATTGGGTCCTTTTATACTTGAGTTGGCCTCTTCTTTATCTGACTCTGATAAAAATTTACACCTTGTTCAACATAAGTATGCTTCTATTTAAATCATATTATATTGTAATTAATTTTATATTTTTAACCATATTTTATAGATATCTTAAACTGCACGATGATCGTTACAAAAGATTATGGTTTTTGTGGCCAAGTGACAGTAGGTCTCTTGTGACGGGAAAATGTGGTTGTGTTGGCGGATGTGCCTTTTTTGGACGTAATCGAAATGGTCAACGTTTCTTTAAACCGTCTAGAAATGATATTCAAGATGGCATCAATATTGCAGCTTTAAGGTTTTTATTGTTTAGCTTAAACAATGTATACAGCCTTAAGTTATAGTTTATTGTTTATTTTTCTAAATTATTATGTCATAGAGTGAATGAAAGTGGAAAAGATCCAGGATTCGGCCAAAGTATTTTACATGATTGTCAATTAATATTTCATACACCACCGTACAATATTGGTAGTGGTGTTGTTATACATGATCATCCAGTACCACAATGGCCAAATATTCGTCTTTTAAATAAGGTAAAAATACGTTAAGTTTGTTTAATATATGGTTAAATGCGTATGGTTTATGTATTACTTATTACTAATATATTTACTAATTAAGTTCTGGTGTTAGGATTATTTTGTTAAGATTTCATCTTATCAAAACTTAAATTTATTATTATAATAACATATTAGTGTATATTACTTTATGTATATAAATTAAAATATAATTGAGGTTTTAAATTAAATTGATCTAATAAAAACAATTTGCCAATCAATGCATTCGTAAGTATGTGATAACAAATAACATCAATTACATTTCTATACTTTATTCCAAAAAAATATATTTCATATATCACTTGCTAATGTGGCTAAGGGGGGGGGGGAGGGTATCATATTGTGTGTTCGCCACTGTAACTCACATTATCTTAAAGATTTCCAAATAATAATGGTATTATCTGTAATGATTAGTAATTTGGATTATTGAGATAATTATATTTTTATGTTATTTAAAGTGAAGAAGTATTTGCAAATATACCTGTTAATATTACCTGTTCAACACAATATGTATTACTCTAGATTTTAAATCACTTACTTATTTTAGAAAAGGGATAGAGATAATTTTGGAGTATTTATGAAATGCGTTCTAGTCACAACTAAATATCTATTTTATTTTGGTTTTTGCCTAAAATCCGTTTTGTGCTTAATAAAACAATTTTGTTGATGCTTGAATTAACACTATATACTATATGGTAAGGAAATGTTCAACTATTATTATCAACAGATTATCAAACATTAATTTACAATGAGTTCAGATGCTATAAATTAAAATATGTATCTTTTACATTGGTAAATACTATACAAAAGATAATACGGAGTAATAAAATGTATGTTATAACATGCATATTGTGTAATGTGTTTACAACTTGTTACAATTTCTTATTTCTTTAATTTAATTTTTTTAGATAGTTACTTATCACTAAAAATTGGTTTGAAAATTAGTTTTGAGTATGATACTATTATCACTATGAATTAATAGTATAGTTCATATTACTTTATGTAATATAAAAGAGATCTTAATTTTTTTTTCTTTAATTTTAAGTTAAATCGTATAATGTTATAGTCAAAATAATAAAAATGGTTTGGTAAAATTTTGATGGAAAAAAATGTACTATTCAATGAGATATTGATGGTTTAAAATTGCCAAACGAAGTTGTGGGATTGATATGCCCATCTATGTTTTACGAATAAAAGTAGCTTGACTTATTCAATAATTTAAATAACTTAAGATAGTATCTTCTAATTTATTTATTTTTATTTCATTTGAGTTCATTTGTTCTAGACAATATTCTGATCTAAAAATTAATATATTTTCTAGTTATTTTTATGTAATTTAAATTTAAATATGTAATTTGAGTGATAGTTGTATCGTACATTTATAAGTTGTAACAATATAATCACGTTTGTAATATAAATTTACACAAATTAAACAAAACAAATATCAAAGTTTAATTACTTATTATTTATTAGTTACCTATTACTTATTATAAATATATACACAGTTACTCAATTGATACTTGATATTTTAAAATTTACAGACCAGAAGAAATAAATAAAAAATGTTTATTATATACTTTTTGTTATTAATTAAATGCTTGCTTTTTTTTACAAATCCAGCTATTTGGGACTTAAAATGTCCCATTATTTCTGCTTTTAATCAACTGCTATTTAAATGTTATATGTTAACTAAAGAATAATAATTTAAAAAGAACCAATAACCATATTTTTTAAGAATATCAAATTCATGCTTTTTATTTAAAATGTATGATCGGTTCCTGATAGGTATACCAAGATCAGTCTGAGGGAAGCAAGAACAGTTCTAATATCCCAACAAATGTACCATACACAATAGACAGTGAAGACATACCTTCTCCTTTACCGACTCACCCATTATCTAGACGTTTCTCATATTCATCTGCTGCCAGCAGGTTTGTTTGGAACTTATTTTCATCAATATCAGTTGCCAAATATCGCTTATTGCACATTTTCTAGACTAAATGGAGTACAAACAATAAGTCGTGAAGTGCCGTATTCACGCCTAATTGATGCCAGTCCAACCCCTGTACTTAAAATGGATTCACGACCACAATCACCTCACAAGTTTAACACTACTAGGTCCATACTGAGTGTGCCCGAAAACACATTAGCTGTAGACAATGGTGCCTGCCCAAAGTATAGTGTTTCAGATTCTAGACTTGCTGTTGATTATTTTAACACAACAGCCCTACAATATAATGCACTTGTCACAAGTGCTCAGAATAATTCAGTACGTATTTTCATTCGTCCCAAATGGCTGGCGAGAGTGACTGGTATTTGGTATTTTTAAAATACCAAATTGGGTTTTATTTTTCTATTTTGTGTTTAGATTAGTGCAGCCAATGCTGATTCCATACATTCCTTACACCAGACTAGTTCAAAACACCCGTTTTCAAGAACTATATCTATAACTAGTGATAATCCATCTGAAGTCTTTTTTTCGGCTGAAGAGGATCTTACTCTAACTAGTAATCTCAAGAGTAATGATCGAATTACATTGGGCTCAGCCAGGTGTTCTTCATTGAAGAGCTCTTTGAACAGCAGCGGAATTGGTCAAAATGAATCTTTTATTAAGTAAGCATTTTAATGCTACAAAGTTTAAATGTCCATATTTTATGTATGATTTGTTTAAGGAATCATTTTGGAAGTGAGACAACCATCATACCAAGTAGTCCAGCACTATTAAGTAATATTACTGTTTCTAATAACACAACAGTTGATCATCAAGACCATACAGTATTAAATATTGACACCTTAGAAGTAAAAACCAAACCAACTTTTAGTCAAATCAATTTATTCAATTTATATTTATTTTATTCTATTTGTAGTGTGATTTAGCTGATGATGAAAAAACATTACTTGCTGTGGACATGAGTAGAGATGCCAATCAAAGTCCATTGTTGAAATCTAATCATAATTTAATTGATAATGTATGATTTTAATTAAAATTGTTAAAGTTCCATGAGTATAAAAATATTATAACATTTTTTTAGGAACATGATGGAGGAATTATAGATTCATCAGATTCACGTTCAATATCCAGTACATCGTTTATGTCTGCTGTATCATCTCAAGAAGACTTGGCACTTATAAATTTGCACATGCATATCAACAAGCCTATTGTTGATTCTCCATTATTACTTACAACTTATACAAATCATTTATCACAAACAAGTTGTAATAATTGGTCTCAAACATCATTACCAGCAGGATCTGATGCGTTTACTGTTCCAATTTATCAGCATACAGTAGACGATCGTCTTGTATTTATTGGTAAGATTTATTTAATTGAATGAGTTAATTTGTTATTACTTTATTAGTAATTTATACTTAAATTAAATATTACAGGTAGTAAATATTTACCTAAATTTGAAACTACAGCTGAAGGTTTTACAAGTTTAAAGATGGTGCCTAGAACAGATTCCAAAGAAAAAGAACCTAGTCCACTTAATGCACAAACACAATCTTCAAAGAAATATACATGGGATCAATCACAGTTTGATTTTACTCAGAATGCAAAAGAAACATTTGAAATTGGTATGTTTATATTATACAATATTACATATCATTATTATTAAACTAATATGTATTTTTAAGATTGTGAAGAGGAAATGGTATCTTTACGAAGTGAAACTGGAACAAGAACAACAGTTGTTATCAAACTCAAAGGAGATATTGATTTGATGGTCACACCATTAGCCTTAGAATCACTTCAAAAGTATTCACAATATTTAAAATTACTTAATTTCTCTGAAAAATGTTAAAAAAATGTTTTTATACTTTATAGGTTTGTTGATAGTTTGATTCCAACATTTAGTAATCTCCACCCGCTTACTGTTTTGAACCACTTACATTCCAGTTGCATTAGTCGTGTTGAAGCTGCTAATATACTTAAACGTGATAAATATTTAAGCCAAATGCAGGGCGGAGGAAGTAAAAGGAGTACTGTGGAAAGAGTAAAACCAAATTTAAATAAAGATGCACAACCTGATTTACAACAACCAAACCGTGTTTATGAAGAATTTATTGCTTCACAAGTTCAAGGAACCGTGATTTTACCAAAAGTATGTTTATAAATTATTTACTGTTCGAATATAATTGGAGTAATTTAATAGAATCGTCTAATTGTTTATAAACTCTGTCGATTGTTAACTGTAACTGTATACTAATAAATTGAGTTTTTAAACAGTATTACTAACAAAGTTCTTTGGATATTAAATTGATATATTTTGAAAACTTTATCTGTTTGCTAACTTTTTATTATTAATCCTTTAACTAAAATATTCTTAAATATTTCAGATTAACATTTGTGTACTACAAGCGTCCATTGTTGAAGAAGTTATATCTTTTTCAGCATTAGATAATATTAGAGATTTGACTTGTGTATCATTATTAGCAATATGTCTTGAAGAACTTACTACCAAGTTTCATTTTAGTAAACAGGTTTGTATTTAATAAATAAATAATTATTTTTTATTTGAAATGTGGTTTAATGGTAAAATTAAAAAGTATTGACGATTTGAAACCATTGGCATAGTAATGGCAGAGGGAAGGAGAAGAGGTTTACCCCCCCCCCCCCCCTCCACAATTTCCAGGAAGAATTAATTTTTTATGAGATGTATTTTTTTGGTCTATGATAACGACCAATAAACCCCCCTCAAAATACAGTTCTAAATATGCAACTGGTTGAAGCTATAACTATATTTAAAGAGTCTTTTAAAGGAAAGTTTGATAAGATATAAAGAAAAAATGAAGTCGAATAACATCAAGTTATTTCATGTATTTTTAAAAGAAATTAATACTGGTCCTCGTGATATCAATAATATTTTCTAATTAAAAATCCCTTTTTATTCTAATTTTTCAATATTGTGTGTCCTCTTTACATACTATATTATTTTTTTTATATAATAGGTTATGGTATAATACTATAGGTTATACAATAATATAATTATTGTTAAATTATTCATTTTTTAACTATATGAATGGTTTTTATTTAAAGGCAAGAGAAATTGTACAAACATATCATCCACCAGCTGTAGCTCCTAGTGGTCAAAAGAAAGGTGTTTTAAGTAGAGCTGCTGGAAAAGCTTTTTTACTTGGATTGAATATTACTTCTGAAGTTGATCCTGAGAGCACCCACGGTGAACCAGTTTATATTGAGACTTCTGAAAAACAGCAAGAAGAAACAGTTATCACACTGCACATAAGTAATTATTTTAATTAATTAAAATAGTTAAATAATAATAATAATATTTTTTTAATTTATTTTTTAGATTTATTGAAATTAATTTAATCATTTTTTTAAAAAAAATTGTTCAATAATTATCAATTTGTGTTTCTATCACATTTCTAAATGAGTTATTACAGAAATGTTAACATATAATGTCCTGTATATGTTTTTTATCTTTGATTTGATTGGTACTGTACACTTTGTTCAGTGATTTTCCCTGTATTTCATTTATATTATAGTATTACATAGAATTAGTATAGGTATATAATTCTTGACATGAAACACCAGACTGAACAATATATATTTGATTTTATATAAAATAGTGTAAATCATACGACTAAGTATTTTTAATGTTTCAATTATCATTTATTTATAGATAGAGCACATGCTCAACTACGTAGACTGCATAATGAGTGTTCAATATTGAAAGAAGCAGTTATAACAGCTATACCGACTCATTGTTCAAAAGTCATGTTTAAAACTTGTTCTAAAGGGAAATCTACAGAAGTTCAGAATAGTGTAAACAGCGATAATGATGAAATGGGGCTGATAAATATTTCAGATGAAAAAATGGGATTTATTATGATGGAATGTGGTTTTGAAGGAATTGCTTTTAAAGTTTGTATTTGTTTGGAAATTCTGATCCTAAATGTGTTTATTACAATTATGTTCATTTTGTCATGATTAGGTTGTAAAAAGATCAAATTTTGAGAAAGAGAATGATCGAGAAATCAGAGATGTGCCATCACCTTCACCAGTACCTGACTCAACTGTTGGGAAAGTATCTCATTCTGAAATTCGAACTAAAAATGAAGATAATATAGAATCTAAAGCAAATAGTAAATATTATGTTATGACCTAATTGGACATTTTTGTAAAATAATTGAGTAAAAAATAATTCATTTTTATTGTTTTTAGCCTCTAGCAAACAAGATGTAGGTGGTGGTTCAACGCCCATGGCTACTCCTAAGCAAATTAAGACTCCCTCAGAAACGTTTATCAATAATGAAGATACAGTGTAAGTTTCTATGTTTTATTTAATACAGTAAGCGCCACTTATAAGACTCACTTTGGGACCAGCACAAAGTGAGTCTTATTACTGAATGAATCTTGTAGGCAAAGCGGGGAAAAACGAACAAACATTTTTAACATTATTCATTCTATTTTGCTTTTACTAAGTATTACATAATGTTAAATAAATAAAATTATTCAAACATATTATTATTAGTAAACTTTTATTATTATTTTAACCTATTATAAATTAAATCAGATATGTAGGACATGTAGGTAATTTTAATTTTACATTGTTTTTTAATTTATAAATTATGAAAAAATTAGTGATTTTTGATTGTTTTTTATTTTCAATTAGTATTCCTGTAATATACTGCTCATACTTGTATTGCATATGAAATTAGTACCTTGGTATGTGTGCATTCGTAATTACTATAACTCTGCTAGGTAATCGGGAGTGTATTACACACTAAAATATCAATGAATGCAATAAATTTGAAATGCGATAAAATTTAAGCATAGATAGAAATCAGTAATAACTAACACAAATAACTTTTTAAAACTAATTTATTTTTAGATTTTACCAAACAAGGTTTTTTTAATACCATATTTCTTTCAAAATTTGAGTCTTAAAAATAAAGTGGTGAGTCTTATAACCAGTAGCAGATCGAGAAGTGACACATGATGGAAGGAAAGGGGGATTTTCAAAAATTAAATTATCTTTTTTTAGACCAAATGTAGGAACAACATTATAACTTTATTGCAACAATACAAAACAAAAAAAAATTATGCAAAAATTAATAGTGGGATACAATGTTGCAGCACTCCCTAAAAACATAGCTTTAGCAAGTTCTTATTGATAAGGATACAAAAACCTGTAAACTAATTTTACGTTTATAATAATAATGTCCAATATAATAGATAATACAATTTTTTTTTCTTCAAATTGAAATTTTCACCTTTCTCTATAAATTCATTATCTTAGATAAGTCTAAGTATTTCAAATATGGCTTTAATTATTTTAAATTATTATAATCATTAATATTAATACTTAAATTAATATAAAAATAATGTTAAAAGTACAGCCCCTGTTGAATACATCTGGACCGTTCCAGGCAATTTTGAGTTTAATAAGTGACTGAATCTTATATCCATGAGTTTTATAAGTTGTATATGCATTATAAGTTAGTACGTAAATGTTATAGAGTTACACTAGGTTTTAAATTGAATTGTGTTTTTCTCTAGTGATAACACAGTGGCAAAAGTGGGAATTGATAAAAATGCATCATCTTGTGTCATGGAAGTATGTCAAGTTTGGTTTAACTTTGCTGCGCCTCCATTAACACCGATTACTCGTAAAATAGACTATACAAGGTATATATTTTTGAATCTCAGTTAATTGGAATAATATGTATTTAACTCAATCATATATGTAGACATGACTGGAATTTACTGAGTACAGCATCACCGGCTATTAATGCATGGATGAATCCTAGTAATCGTTTTGCAATGCGTCTTGTGCACATGCTGCGTACTAGATATAGACGCTGTACAGCTGTTGTAACTTGTTTAATGGCTGAGGCACTAGATGTTCAAAGTCTCCATATACCTCTTAAGGTATTTTCATTACAGTTTTGATACTATAATAATTAATAGATAGTTAAATTATTAATTATATTTATTTTATAGAGTCGTTATAGGCATACTACTCCTTTGGCTAAAACTTTACAAGAGGATCCTTCATGTCAACTGTGTAATATATTGCAAAAATACCTTCTTCAAAGTGATGTAACAATCGATACCAATTTAAAAGATCCATTTTTGCCTAACTTATCAATTTTGAGACAAGTAAGTTTATTTTAAGTATTTACAATTTTAAATGATAAAATGATTAATTTAATTTAAATATTTTATAGGGTGTTATTGTTTTGAGTCGTCAGTGGAAAAATATCTTATATACCCCTTTATTACTTGAACACAACTTCAAAAGCCGGCATCATAACTTAAAACCATTAAATGTAACTTTTGCAGTTTCAGATGCTGAAGAGGTATGCTGTTTATTTAATAAATTATTTTTTTTTTATTATTAAAAAAATATAAAAAACAAATTTAGTTCAGATACTGAATCAGATTGGGATAATTTATTGTTAAAAACAAAATTTCAAATTAGTATCCTTTTCTAAAACAGGTGTTTTATGATTGTGGCTATTTAAATTCACGTCGAAGTGCAAATACATCACACAATCCCGATTTATTTATATGTAAGCAAAAAAATAGTATCCAATTATTTGCATATCATTATTTTTTTTTAAAAAACGTACAAATGTACAATCACTTGGTGTAATGCTTTTACATGGTTCATTAGGTGTTTCATTGTGTTATACGTTTATTCATTGTCACTATTAGTGTTATTCTAAAGGTGCTTTATGGTTTGCTAATATTAATAATAGTTACACATTAATCTGTGTTAATACGTGTGAATTAATAATGTGATAATAATAATAATAATAATAATTTGTAATTACATGTTTACTGTATATTTTATGGATAAAATCATAATTTGCCTTGGGTATCATTTGTAAATATGTATTTTTTGGTCATATGCTAAAGGATGGGGAGGCTTCTGGGGAAGAAGGCGGAGAAGGAATAACCGACGAGTGTGCTATGCTGCTGACCAGCGAACGTCATTCGCACGTGTCTACATTACAACGGGTACTCAAATCGCATACAAACAAATGTGGTAGGACATGTAAATGTTAACAAATTAGATTTATAACGTAAAATAATGATATTATATTCTTGCATGCCACTTTTTAAAATTTATTATTATTAATGGAATGTTATCTTGGGGTGTACCTATTTTGTTTCGTGCTTTTATTTATTGGTAATTATCATTTATTTCTTACTATGGTATTCTAATTAGAAAATAAAGTGTATCATCACTATCATATCGTAATATCTTTTAGTAAGTAAATTTGTTTAGAATAATGGCTTATATTTGCTAAAAATACTAATATTTTTATTTATATAATTATCACATATCTTAGTTTCATTGGTCATTACTCATTAAGAACGACCAATTTATTAACAATCCATCTATTAATACACATTTTAATACTTTTGAGTAATTTTATTTTACTTTTACAGTCTCTCTTTATTACTTATTGCACATGATACTCACCTACTACTATCTGCATTTTCCATCTCCTGCCTACACTATAAACCTTGAAATAAATTTACTTTAAATATATTTTACAGATAATCTTTGGCCAATATTCTTTGTATTTTAATTATTTGATTTGTTGATACATTTTATCCTGTTATTTTATTTTTTGCTTCAATTGGTTTTTATTTGCTAATTTATATTTTTAAAGCTTGTTTATTTGTTGCTTGAAATTAAATTAAATTGAAAATGCATTGTCATAACTCATTATTTATAATAGGGTCAAAAGGAAATTATGGTAACGAGTCTCATTATTATGATCCATTTTCTCCTACCGGTATGGCAGATCAGCCAAACGATGTTGCAATGAGTTCACATAATTCTTCTTGTGATCAGCCTAAAAACAACAAGTCACTGTTACCCACACAAATGCCATCTTCATCTAGAGCTAGTGTGATGTTTCCAATATTGGATGATACAGTTCAGCACACATACAAAAATATTGTCGAAGTTCCATTAGTTGATAGTAACTATCAAGCTCCAGTAGAAGGTGAAAACTTGGCTGGAAGCGTAGAGGCTATAAACATATCTCCACAAAAATCAGACCGAAATGAAGATCTTTACACTTGGATGGCCAAACAAGATTTTATTAATCCTGAACCTCGAGTACCTAATAGACTGGTTAAAGCTAAAAAAATACGAAATTGGGTTTGTATACTTGAGTTATGATGTAATTATTTAGTTACTTATTTAATTATATTACATTTTTAATTTTTCAGCGGCTACGTAAAGGACCGTTACGTACATCTGAATCAAAGAATGTACCTCTTACATCTGATAATCAATCTTCAGCTGATTTTGCGGAATCAGATTCTTTACGTTTTAATATATTTCCTAAATATGATTCACTACGATTATTGGATGCTCACCTCATTTTTGAACCATTATTATCTAGTCTTGGAGTTATGCCTCAACAAATGGTTAACCCTAATTCAGGTTATTATTTATGTTACCTATATTATATTAAGCATACTCATAAATAAATAAAAAATTGTGTTTTCATAACCTTAAACATAATAGTGAATAACAGTAAAATATTTAAATCAATATCAAAAATTATGATTTAAGAAAATATTCATATTTTTCCATATTTGTATGAATTATAATTATATCTCTTTCCCTTTTGTAGTATTATTGGTTTTATTTTCAGTATGGAAAACCGTTGAAAGAACTGTAGATATTTTTAAAGTGGAAAAAAATTAATTTGTCTTTTGTAGACTTATGTTTTTTGGCAAATGTACTATGTAGTACAACATTTATTTACATTTAATTTACATTATAATATAGGTAACAATGGTATGGCTGCACTTGACTCTTGGGGATCTAATTTGTCACTTGTTGGGAGTCTTGAAACAATGCGTATAGACATTGTTGTCAGTGAGTATGGAAAACTTCCGGAAACGGGAAAAAAATCAAAATCTTTTAAAAACAAATCCAAATCAGGTATATGGTTACATTCATTAGATTTATATCCTCACAATAAAACGTTTATTTAATTATATATTTTAGAAACTCCGTGGTTAGATTTATTACCTGAAGTACCTGCGTTCTTATGTGATCGTGTTAGTATTGAATGTGATGTACGTCGATCAGCTGATATGACAGTTGTTGATGATATTCGACGACAAAGACGGAATATGCTATACTTGTCGCGAGGCCAATTAAAGAAACATTCAAACACATCATTTAATATTTGTGTTTCTGTTAGATACATTTCTCAACAGGTGAGATCAAAATAATAATAATATATGTATTACAAAATGAATATTATCATATAGTTTGTATAACTGTTTTCATCCTTGTGCATTCTTACCCTTAAACTGTCAAAACTTATAACTTATATAAATTAAGAAATAACAATATAAATTAAAATAAAACTGAGTTGTATGATGATTTACAAGTCATAACTAATTCTTGCACGCCAAAGAAGATATTAAAACAACTGCTCTTGTATAAAAATTGAGTAAAATGGTAACATATTAACTAAACAATTCAATTTGCAGGTTAATATGCCTTTGTTGCGACTTCTTAATCAAATAACTAATATGTACCAAAATGTGAAAGATACTCAAACTGAGCTTCGTGAACAACAGCCTCATCCATATGTTTCGCGTACTAATGCTAAGCCACCAGCATCACAATCTGGTAAATAAATACTTTTTATGTCATCCAAAATACATTTCATTCTTAAATTGGTTGAACATTTTAGATCAATCAGAAGTACCAGTACCCACACCACCACCTATCAAACGTTTTTTGCCCCGTTCAGCTAGCGAATTGAAACCTATTGTATCACCTTCTCCATCAATACGTTCAAAACACCAAACATTAGCACAAAAATTAAGATCAACTGGTAAAAGCGTCAAAGGTTATATGAATTTGAGTGAAACTCCAGTAGTCAGCGAATGCTTGACTCCGAGTTTATCTGAATTTGAACGTATCACACCAATGAAACCCATTGATGAAGTGGATTCCAATATTGTATCAATGACACCTAGGTGTTGGAAGACTGTTTATCATTTATTAGAATTATATGCTACAATGCCTGAAACCAAAACAGTGACACAACGGATATCATTTGGTGTAGATGTATCGGAAGGATACAAGGGCACTAGAAAATATGATATATTACCAGAGTCCAAATCTTGCGATGATATTGATAAAGATGGGTCTACAAGTACTCCAGTACCACCTGTTTCACAGCTAAATCAGCGTAAATCATCTTATTATATTTGTTTGATTAGAATGTTTATTTTATTTTATTGTCGTTATAAATACATAGAACATATTATATTATAGGAATAACAAAAGAAGAACGTACAAGACTTATGGTGTTTGTTGTAGTTCGTATTCACCGAACTAGACTATTGGCCACATTGAGTGGCTTAAAATTAGAAGCAGAAATTACTAACTTACATACTAGTTCAACTTTTCGAAAAAAAACACGACCTCCAAGTTTAGAGTGTTCTTTGACTGGACATATAGGTCGTACTATGATAGTACTCCTAGAAGGTGTCGCACCTAATCAACAGACTGTTGTTAAGGTTACTGTTGGTAAATCACAGACTTTATATTCAAGTATGAGTCGCCGAACAAAGGATCAAAATTCTGGTTTACTAACAATTGGTGTAGTAAATATTGATATCCCTCAACATCCTGTTGCTCTTCACGGAATGATGACTAGAGGAAGCAAGCAGCTTTCATCTACTTTACAGGTGAATAATCAATTAGTATTAGATAGTACATCACACTTGTTTTTATATTTACATTTCTGAAATTATTATTTAGGAACTTCGAGTGGCTCGAACATCTAGTCGAATGGGACGGGTTCCAACTATTGATGAAACTGATGTACAAGGCTCTGTAGGACCATCAAGTATGACTGCTCAACAAAGTCCAATGGTGCAAAGAGTGCACAAAGAAGAAGTTATTAAGGTCACTGTTCCTGAACCTAATGTTTTACTACAGCCATTAGTTATGCATTTCACTGCTGTCATTCAAGTAATTTAAGTAATTCATAAACTGTGAACATTAATTAATTTCTTTTTTCTTAGTGTTTAACTGTCACTGCTGCTTTATTGCCTTCATTACGAGCTCAATATAAAATGGACCAAGTTACCAGCACTGGTTATACAGGAAACAAAGCAAAGTTTATAATTGATTTGCCTCAACACACTTTATCATTCTCAACTAAAATACCGGTTTGATTTTAAAGTTCTTGTTAAATTTACAATTTTTACATTGCATTTAAAAACAAATAGGTAACTGAGACAAATTTACCATCAGAGGCTAGTATAGAACTTCCAAAGGTACATGTGTCGGCTGAATATATACTTGATGGTGGTTTAAAAACAGGAGAGAATCAATTTTCTGGAGCAGGTAAGGTTTTAAAACTGAAATTATATTTAGTAATTTTATTTCAGTGAGTTAATTTTTATTTATAAGATGGTGCTGTACTACGCCAAGGAAATTATTTAAGTGCTGTAGCTGATATTGGTGTATTTGAACAGTCGCTCACAACAGATCTATTAAACCATTTAGTGTTTGTTCAAAAAGTATTTATGAAAGTAAGTTATTTCATAATTAACCGTGATTCCTATTATTTAAATATTTTATGCCTTATGTATGTAGGAAGTCAATGAAGTTGTTCAAAAAGTATATGGAGGTGAAAAACCTGTACCTATATGGTTAGAAGATAATGACACAAATCGTTCTGCACCTGTCAAAAGAATATTATTTTCATTGACTGTGAAAATGAGGGTAAATTTCCTAAAATGTTTGATATAATATTTATAATAATATTAAAATTTTTAATGTAAATAATCTAAAATAGATAGCTTATAAAAACAACCATTTTTATATTGGTTCATATTTTATTATTCTAGCGCATAGAACTTACTGCTACTACCCCGACAAATTGTGCTGTTCGATTAGAAACAGGTTCGGCAGACTTTCAACTATCAAATAGGGTACAAAATGTATCGGGGTCATCTTATCAAACATCTGAACAAGTTAAAATTTTTGTCAAAGCCCATATTGATGTAAATTTATCGCTTGGTCAAGTGATACGGAACCCATTGTTTGAAGAAGCTGATCCTGAATTCCAAAGTTTCGCATTTTTTAAAACAAGGATAGGTAATTGTTGCTGTTATATTCATACTTCGTGTATTGTAAAATTAAATATATATTCTAATAATTAATCTTTTAATTTATTAGGCTTAACATTTTTAATATACATTTCTAATTATATTTTTTCATTATTTAGAGCTACGAAATGCTTTCCAAGGAGAAATGGTTGGTGAAGGTGAAGACAAAGAAGTAATACTCATTACTCTGCGAAGGCCTTTAATTTATATTCAACCTTTGGCTGTGGACAAGGCAATATTAGTGTGGTTGAACTACAAAAATGCATACGAATATTGGAACGAACAACGGGCTAGTTTAAATAAAGAAGTTTTGACAGCTACTCAGCCATCGACAGAAAAATTGCCATCTGACAAAATACCGGTGTCACCAAATTTGGGTACTATTTTCTTACAATTGACTGTTGAGGATATGGGTATTTGTGTGCCTTTGAATCCACTTCCCCAGGTATGTTATTATGTTTGTACATTAAATATTCAAATTTTAATTTCATAATTTATGTATTTTTAAGACAACTTGGGGTTTAAATCGGTCGATTTTCATGGACTTTGAGTCATGTTCTGCAGTGGTAGTTACGTTAGAATCAACTAGTATATCAGCATGTAGTTCTGGGTCTCTAGTCAGTAAGGGCCGTTTCATTGGTCTATGTTTAAGATTTGCCGATGATTTTGATTCATCTCTTGATGATTGGAAGCCTGATATAACTAATGAACTTGTGTCTACTGCAATGAATTTGTGCATAGTGTCAGAAGGAACATATGAAGTATGCAGTCGTACAACTTCTCAAAAATTAGATTCTGTTACAGGTACATGATATAAATAATCGACATGTAAAATATTTTTGCTGTTCAATGTATTAACTAATTTTGTATAATAGAAAATGCAAAATGGTTCTTAAACGTAAAATGGCAAATGGAAGGTGTTGACATGCATTTAGATGTAAATATAGGAAAACAGCTTAGTGCGTTAGGACATACTTTAACTGCCTTAACTGGAGTACAAGATACTGATGATCCATTATCGGATAGTAATCCTATATCTCAAGACAGTGATATTATTAGACACAAATCAAACATGGAAGGTGATATATTAGCATCTTTAGCCATTGATCCCACTATGAGTGCTAAAACTAGATCAAAAATAATTGAGAAAGAAATGTATGAACAAGCTAAAGCCATTAATGATTTACGTTCGTTGGGAGCATCTCAGGGGACTATTGAACATGAAGTCAAGCGTTTACGTGAATTGGAAGCAATGGTTTTCAAAGGATTCAGAAGGTGAGATTTAGTGAGAAATGTTTTATTATTTGATGCTAAGTAAATCAATTTTTAGAGATATGATTCAGAAACTTAGAAGACAAAGTGTGAAAGGTAAATCGAGCTTAAAGGGTAAATTTGGACTTAGCAACAAAAGTTCTACATATAGGTCAAAGTCATTTATTGTTTCACCTACACAAGAAGTATCAGAATTCAAAGAAACTCAAAGGTAAAGTAAACTTTAAGACTAATCTCAAACTAATCATTCCACTATTAAAATAACTAAATAACTAATAAAATTTTTAAGTCCTGACGAAGTGACTAGTTTAAGTAGTGTTGAAAATTCTCCTCAAGCTGGACCACAACGTTCAACATCATTTAGGGTGACACATCCTGGTCATGTAACATTCAGTAATACTAAAGAAATATTCCGACAAAGTTCGTTGCCCAGTGCTAGCTCCGAACAAAGTTTAACTACAGAAGGTGATGATAGTTGGCCAAATGCAGATTATGGCAGACATATGGACTCAAGGTAATCGTGTTTTAAACTTTAAAATAACATTTATTTATTAAATAAAATATTATTTTGGTAGGGATGACTTTTTGGTTAATCCATTATTTGTGTCGGGTGCTACTCAAAAACCACAAGAACCTAATATTGATTTTGAGTTAGATGTAAAAGTGTTTATTAACAGTGGAAAATGTGTATTGCACACTAAAGATTCTGTTAAAGAAGATGAAATCAAATTGTAAGTATTTTGTTACATGCTAATTTTTAAAACATTTAGTGACTCATTTATTTTTAAGGATGACTAGAATGAAAAAAGAGCGTAGTTGTTCTGGTGGTGTATTTGAATATGTTCCTGGAAGTCCAAATTTACCTAGGCGTTCTTATAAAGATAAATTAGGTGCAAATAGTACATCGAGTTCTCGATTAAGACACCACCAGACAGTGACCAACACTCTATCTCAGTTATCTGAATTAACTATATTTCATATTCCTGGACTGGATTTTAAAGTACATTACGCATCAAAAATGGTGTCTGATGAAGGTCAATCTCTCATGTACTCAATTGACTCAAGTGGAGTAATTAGTAGAAAAACAAGTACTAAAAAAGCCAGCCTCTATTGTTGGGCTACACTCCAGAGCATACCAGAAGAGACTATTATATCACCACATATACTCGAATTCCTAGAGCAGACTTTAGCACCTATACCGGCACAACAGTTTGCTGATACAGGTATATTTTATATTTTTATTATTCATTGTAGATATTCAAAAAAAAAATTAAAATCTGGTAATTTTTTTTTAGGTACATTTGATACAATGTTTGCTACAGATAATGATGACGATTTGTTTGCTCCATATTTGACACCTGGGCAATACGCTTATACTTCATTCCCTGTCGACGTAATTGTCTATCTCCATGTTCAAACATCAACATTCCGATTTTCATGTTTGCCAGTATCACGCGTCGAATGTATGCTGAAGTTGCCATCATTGGATATTGTGTTTTCTTCTAAAAGAACTGATTCTTCAAATGAGTAATATAAAAATTGACTAATTAGTAATTGCATTAAAAAAAATGTGCACTTCTTTGAATATTAGACTTGAAGATTATTATGAAGACTCCAATAGTTTACCAGTTGCAGTAGGAGGTTTAAGTATTACTGGAGTGATGGCAGACTTTTCCATGTACATTTTTCATCCATATGGAGGAAAAAAATCATGTAAATTAATAGTTAATTTAAAATATAATTATAAAACATATTTATATATATCGCTATTTTTTTTTTTATAGCAGCCAATCTTAAAGAGCCACATACTCATGCATGGTCACCACTAGCTGATGGTGAACGCAAAGATTCTTTAAGCGTAAATGTTGAATTTATTAAATTTCATTTATCCAGAAGTAGGAAGCTTAATTTTGAATCCGTACCTGGACCTAAGACCACATCTGATCAAAGTCACGCAACTATTAGATTCTCCAGTGAGTATTTTATTGTCTGCTTTGTTGTCTATTGTTTTATTTTTTTCATTGAACTAACAATGTTTATTTTTTTTTAGCCATTGTTGATATAGGATCTGCTTCATTCAAATATGACATGAGGCGTTTGACTGAAATTTTAGCATTTCCCCGTGCTTGGTATAGGCGTAGCATTGTGCGCAGACTTTTCTTAGGCGATCTTACCAGAACTGTTCCAAGCAGCGTGTATAGTGACCATAGTAACAACGTGGATCCTGAAGATTCGTTAGTTAATACAAAAGTAATATTGATTATATTTTTAATGATTATTACTTTTTTTTTTTAGTTATGGAAATTTTATAACTGATACTAAAGTAAAACCTAGCCGTGATAAATTACACTTGAACATTAAGGGTGACAAACATTTGCCTTTGGAAAAGAAAAAAAATAGTTCAAGCCATGACTCAAGTCCAGACCAAAAATCTAGTAGTGTCGGTGCAGCTGCATGGGAAACACTGGTGATATTTGCTGTAAACTTTAAGAGACTTAATGTACATATGAATATGGGAAATGTTATGGGAAATGTTACGTAAGTATATTTTATTTGTAAATATAGTTTTGTTTAATATTTATTAAATTCTAATTTTAACTTTTGTTTAGTTGGTTATCCAAGCAATTTCATTCCGAAGGCCGATTATCCATTGGAAGTACTGGTCATAAAAATATGTACATTGGCTTAGGTCTTGGTGGTTCTGAACTTGACGCTAAAGGCGGTATTGTGGGTGGCATAATTGAATTGAATGAAATTAACACTTATGGTATGTTTTGTATACAATTATATTCTTATTTTGAATTTTTTTCTTTGTGATGTTTATACTTTATGACATTTTTATGTTTTTCCTTTATAGTGTTGATTAGAGAAGATCCAGGTTCAGAGCCTCGGCATACTGTTGGTTTAAAATTGTCAGCACTTGAACTTCGTTTAGATTATATGGGTACAGCAGTATTAATGTCCAGAGTTAGCCTACTTGAAGTGGTTTTAAAGGATGAATGGAAGGTGTTGAGTAAAGCCATATCAACTGACAGTGTACATGACTCAAGCAAACGGCCAGGAATTGTGTTTATGCATGGTGATCTTGGTTGGGACCAATTGCAGTTGATGATATCCAAAAGCACCTCCTCGGATATTATGAAAATGTATTATAAACTGGAAGAATTCTTCTCACAGCAGTTTAAGTCCAGCAAACGAGTTTTCTCAAGTTTACAAGACCACAGAGAATCAATTGGTAGTGAGAAAAGTTCAAAAAAGAAGACAGTGAGAAGACGAATATTAATCTCAACCTCAAGTCCAGATAGTGTGTATTATGTTTTAAGTTAACATTGATTTACCTTTAATTTAATTTTATGTTTACTATTATTATTTTTAGACATAAGTTCAGACGAATGTAAACACCATCACCGACATTGGCAACGTGCATTAGAAGCAGTTTCTGGATTAAGATTATCCACATTAAAGTACCCTTTACCACATTGGGGTACTGTTTTAGGCGGAAAAATGGATTTACATGGTGTAAATATATCTTTAGCATGCTTTCATGGCATTAATTTCAAATCAAAGTCATGGGCACTATTCTCCTTAAAAGAACCATGTATATCATTTGCAACTGAAGCTCATGAAGTATTTAATTTTGGAGGTAATAGATTTCAAATATTATTTATAGGAATTTTCATATAATTTATACATTTTTTTGATAAATAAAGATTCTGGACCACTATGTAGAGATGACTTGGACATAAATATAGTACAAAATCTCACTTTTAGTTTGGGAATGGAGGGTACTGTACGTCCACAACACAGTATGGCAACTGTGTGTAAGTTTAGTCGTAATGTTCTTTTCCCACCGCAGTTCAAAACTATTCAAGAATGGTTCAATTATGCCTTTGCATTAAGTGAAATAGATGGTAATTATTTTATATTACTATATTATAACTAACTAACTTTGTGAAATATTTTATTCAAAATATGTAGAAGTTGACCGTTTCCCAAGTTTGGAGCGTGAGAAACAAGATACCACTGAGTCAGCACCACGCTCACGTACACCAAAACCTCAAGAGAACCTGACTCATACACGTGAAGTCATATTTGCATTACCTACATTACAACTTAATCTCAAGAGCAACCATACACAACCCGTCAAGTTACCTTCCCCATATGACATCAAACCGACAGTTGAGTGTAGTTTTATAACAGAGTTTGAAGATCATATTTTTGTAACTGTAGATGCAGAAGCATTTTTCTTTCTACATGATCTCATAACATCTTATATTTTGGAAAAAGATAAAGTAGTAAGTTCCAGATTTATACAATCATGTAATTTATACAATTATTGTTGTTATTTTTGTTATTTTTGTTAATTTAGTCTTCTATGACTAATCGACCACAAAGTCCGGAAACATCCAACACTGGAAATACAAGTCAGCCCACCATGGAATCTCCTCAATCATTCACTAATGATTGGAGGGATTACAATTGTACCACTTGGCATTTAGAACCAACTGTTAGGTGTGGAAGAACAAAAATATTTAATAATTTTAAACTGGAGATAATATAAAAAAAATTTTCAAATACATTTTTATTTTATTTTAGATTGTTGTCATGGGGAGGCAAAAGTATTGAGCCTTATGGCGTAGACTATATATTACAAAAGCTTGGTTTTTCACATGCTCGGACGACCATACCAAAATGGATGCAAAGAGGATTCATGGACCCTTTAGATAAAGTACTCTCAGTGCTCATGTTACGAATGATAGCAATAGCACGAGAAGAAGATGTTACCCGAAGGGATGATCCTGTATGAAGCTATAGATTAAACTTAAAATAAAACTATTCCATTGGACTTGACAATTGCATTCTTTTATCATACTAAAACAATATACTGAAAAAATAATATTATATTTTTACAGGACAAGTGATTCTATCTACTTAAGCTTGCCTTAGTCATATTTATTATGGTCAAGGCAGTTATTTACTAAGTATTTTATATAAACCAAAGATTAGCTATATTTTTATTATTCACGCGCAAATAAAAGGCTGCATTGAATTAACAATATTTAAGGTAATTAACATATTATTATCTATAAACAAATTTATTGTATAATATAATATTCCTTTCCCCTTTTACATTTGGATAATTCTTAAAAAATTGTTTAGCATATGAATTATTAAAATGTATTTTTTATTTTATTTTGTTATTGATATTTACATAATATAATGATACAATTAATGAATATACATTATTTTTTTATTGTAAATTGTTGTGAGAATTTAAAATGAAAAACAATTTGAGTAAATATTACAGATTAGTAATGGAAACCCATACTTATTGCGTCAACCTAAACAAAAATGTTATAAGTAATCTCAGATGAAAAATAACGAATACCAGAATTTTGTGTTTGGTACTTTTAGCCCCACCAAAATGTACAAGCTCTAGTTGTGTCTATGATTGTCATTCACATTGTACCTATATCCTTAAATAAGGGCTTCGCTTTTTTATAGTAATAAAATAAATAAATATATAAAAAAATATATATCAATAAGAAAAGATTATTAATAATTTAAGTACGCAAACAGTGAAACATATTTAATTGTATAAATAATAATAGTGAGTGCAACTGAGTGGCTTTTCAAATTTAAAATATTTTGTTCCGTTTAAAATTAATGGGATAAGCAAATTATTTTGATTTAGACACGTTATAGGTATACATTCATATAGATTCTGCGAATGTTCGTGTCGATTTGAGACATTATACCTATGTCCCGATTTGGTGTGTGTGTGTGTATATGTATACAAAAATACGGGTGGGGTAAATTTCTACAATACATGGCAAATCTACTATCTACGAGTAAAAATAATCTTTAAGCTTTATGCTATTAAATATTTCTATTCCTTGTATAGTCGTATAACTCGTAAAGCATGCAATGTGCACATTAATTGACGAATATTATTAAAGCTCTTCGAGCTGTGTGGAATCGGATTAAGGTATCAACGTTATTACAATAATATAGATAAAACATGTGTCTAAACACTTTAAACTAAATATTAGTTATTATTCTTGTTCATAAAAATGTTTAATCTTAAGAAAAAAAAATAATGTAAGTACCATAATAAGTACCAAATATTTGATACTTTCCATAACTACCTCTAGAGTCTAGGTACAGGACTCCGCGCAACCCAGAACACAAAAACCTTTTTCAAGCTTTTTGCTTTACCTTCCTGTAGTATTCCCGGTATGGGTATCTTTAAACCAGCTGTAAGAATTATATGATCAAATATTATTCCTATAGAGCTTAATGCTTAAAGTTTTAAAAGTTTTAAGAATAATATATTGAAATCAACACGAATTAGATACCATCAATGAATTCTGTCAATTATTAAAAATAATAAAAAAAATTCAAATATTTTTTAATGGTTTTAGTTATGATGCAATTAAAAAAAATATTAAATCTCAAAGAGTTGAAACTTTTTGCTTGACATTACTACATTAGATACCTATATTATTATTATTTTCTATACAGAATAAAATTTGCTAAATATTTCGACTAATTTTAAGTTATTTTCACCACGAACCCCTGCCTATACCATTCTACTGTAACATGTTGGTTTAATTTAATATTTAATGTCATTAATGATGTTAAGCTTATAAAAATAATATTATAACAGTATAAAATATGTGAATTTAATGTTTTCGGCAAAAAAATAGTTTAACTTTTTATTCAATGTCTTACTAAGAGTAATATGAATACATTATAAAATATCCATTATCCTTTATAAAATAAGTAGAGTAGCTTGGTGAGGCGCGGCCGTACGCTCAATCTGTGGAAACGCTCTGAGTGTATGTGCCGGCTGGCGTACCTTCTACATAGCTCCCGGATGGGTAACCACCCGGGCTTTATAGCAACTAAATCTTTGCCACACATACAATATGAGTTCTAAAACCAACCGTTCTCGGTTGGAACCGGTTTTCGTATATAACGGCCAATGACTTATCAATTATCATTGAATTCAAATTTAGTAAGTCTCACTAAGTCTATTACAGTGACCTACTCAATGTTGAGGCGCACTCAACACATACTAATTAGCTTAGCGACTTTGTTGGTTATGTTTTAATTATTTCTTTTACTATAAATAATATATTAAATATTAGGTAGGTAACTTTGGCCCATGATACATATAGTTAATATTATTATATATATTTACACCTTACCTATGATTTGTATATTATAGGTAAGTATTATTAGTCCTCACACATAATTTAAAAGGACTAATTTTCAGCCGTATTATAAAATTTCTTGGTGTTTTTGAAAGCTTCACCAATAACCAATTACTGTATGTGGTGTAGGTTTATATTTTTAATAACGTTACATAAATTGAGTAGATATAACTGTGGTAGGGTAAATAATTTTGTAATAAATTATTCTCTCCACTTGGGACTTAGTCCGTAGGTTTACGTTTATTAGCATTCAAAATGTTCATTTATCCCCCCTCCATTTGTAAGCTAGGGAATTGTAACCGTCATCAAAACATACTATGTACCTATTTAACAAATTTAAATATTTCATTGATATTTTATGATTGTATTCAATTCAGTACCTAGGCATTATCTATTAATATATAGATACTATTGTAAGTATGTATCATTTAGATGTTTTCGCAAAGTAGATAATTTAATTTAAAATGTACCTTCTATACTAATTTTCAGTAGCTATATTAGATTTGTATCAAACATATCAACTAGGTATACTGTAATTATAGTGTGCTAAAATTACAGTGCCGATTGAAGAATAAATATTATGTCTTAGAACATAAGGAAATTTTATTCAAAAGAAAAATAACTAATATGCATCAGACGATTTTAGTTATGTACCTAATTCAAAATATAGGTATTAATTGAAAAGACTTGAAAATTGGCTCGTGATAATATAATTTAAAATCTCATGTATTAAAATATCATAGGTACGTATTATAAAACTAGTGTGGGAATTGGCCGGGCACCGGTCAGTAATTCCTTAGCTATATTGCTTTAAAACAGGGATGGCAAATCCATGGCACGTGTGCCCGAGGTGGCATGCAAAAAGATTTTGTGGGCACTCGAAAATTTAAAAATCGACTACGCCGCGGGAACTGCTTTCGCATAGCTTATTCGAATACTATAGCACCTATAATAACCTATAAGTTAACCTTTTTATACTAATACATTAATTATACAATCAAATTATAGTATAACAAATTATAATATTTTTACTATTTTTTTCATGGCACGCTCTAGAAAAAAAAAGGTTATTACTAATTTTGGGCACGCAGTGTTGAAAAGGTTTGCCATCCCTGCTTTAAAATAAGGTATAGGTACCTAAAACTGTAGCCACAATAACGCGTGTACAATTTCACTAAATCATATGTAAAATTGAGCGATTAAACCAAAACATGATCTCTGAATTCAATGGTGTACCCAGGTAATTTTTCAATTGGGGGGGGGGGGGCTAAACAAAGTAAATCAGAATTTGATATCTGTTATTCTGTTACACTACGTCGTTATTTCTGTAGGTATATTCTGTAACCTTCAATGACCTGTACAAAGAATTGATAATATTTACTCAAAATGTTTCTTCAAAACCGTTTTTAGAAATATCATGGTTTGCAGGTACTTTTCCTTTGATTACAAAATAATTATACCATAACACGGCCAATTTGAGGGGGGGGGTGAATCTCACTTAGTCACCCCCGAGTACTCCACTGTCTCTATATTCTTTTTCGATTTTTTTAGTTATAGTAATATCTGTCAAAGGAACTAGAATCTACATTCCACGTAAGGTAGGTATAGATATGGTATGTTGATATAATATAAAAGCGGATGTGCAGTGTACACAATTGCAGCATAAGTTAAGAGTAATATTACTTTATGGAACAATGCGCTTAAATAACATAGATTATTAATGTTGATATTTAGATGTCAATATGCCGATGTTTCTCATTACCGTATCGGTGTGGTGTACGACCCTGTTTTATTTATAATAACATTTTAGTGGTCAGTATAGCAACTTATGTTTGCCAATTATTTATTGTAACTGTTTGACTATTCTGAGTTAATTAATGTGTGTTGTGCAACAGTTAACACCATTATATAATATGAAATTAAGTAAATGTAATCGTAATAATTTATGTTACTGTAGGAATCAAAAATATTAAATATATAGGTAAAGGTAATATAGGTACTAATATTACGCGTAAGTTTACCAATGTATCTAAATTTCTACTAATTTAAAAGCCATAATATTATAAATTTAATGTTTGATATCTGTAGACTGTAATTTCACGAGTCATAATTATATTCATTCATAAATGCCTAAGGGCAATAGATTACAACGTACGTATTATTATTTATCTGTTCGCATAAGTTTAAAACGTCTGTGAAGTGTGAAGTATGGACACTCCGCTGCAGTCACGTATTATTGACCGTCGTGTATATGATATTATGATAATATAGTTATAATAAAGTATTTTTATTTATTTTTTTAAAAATTACCATCAATATTTTTGGATTGTTATTGAAATGAAAAAAGGAACTTTTGTGTAAAAAAATGTGCAAATGTTATTAAAAATGTGAAAAATCAACTTATTGAAATTAATTGTTTTTATTATAAATTCGATGGTCCGTGGCTTCAAAGAACATTTTTACTGGGGTTCGTGTGTTACAAAAGGTTAAGAACTGCTTGTGTAGAGAGTGAGAGAGAAATATTGAAGAAATATATAAATTGATATTATATTACACTCGTCGATTAAAGCATATGATATTAATAAACATACACCACATACGCACACCAATACCTATACCATATCTGTGAGTGTGTCGCCGAGGTTTTGTGGACATGTAA